GGGGGTAACCCGGGGAAGGTCGGGACCGGAGTTGTTGCCCCAACGCGGTGGTGGCTGCGGAACAGCCGTCGGGGTCCCTCCATCCCTCTGTCCCTCCGTCCCTCCATCCCGCTGTTGCTCCATCCCTCTGTCCCTCCGTCCCTCCATCCCGCTATTGCTCCATCCCTCTGTCCCTGTGTTCTATCCCTCCGTCCCTCTGTCCCTCCATCCCTCTGTCCCTCCATCCCTCTGTCCTTCCGTCCCTCCATCCGTCTGTCCCTCTCTCCAGCCCTCCATCCCTCCCTCCATCTGTCCGTCCCTTCTTCCCTCTGTCCATCCGTCCTTCCCTCCGTCCATCCCTCCCTCTGTCTGTCTGTTCATCCGTCTGTCCCTCCATCCAACCCGCCCTCCGTCCATCCCTCCGTCTGTCCATCTGTCCCTCCCTCCATCCGTCTGTCCCTCCATTCATCCCTCCCTCCGTCCATCCATCCATCCCTCCATCCTTCCATCTGTCTGTCCATCCCTCCCTCCTTCCATCCATCTCTCCATCCCTTCCTCCCTCTGTCTGTCTGTCCCTCCCTCCGTCTCTCCTTCCCTCTGTCTGTCCCTCCATCCCTCCCTCTGTCCATCTGTCTGTCCCTCCATCCCTTCCTCCCTCTGCCCATCCGTCCCTCCCCTCCCTCTGTCCATCTCTCCCTCCATCCATCCCTCCCTCCCCTCCTCCCTCTGTCCGTCCGTCTGTCTCACCATCTGTCCCTCCCTCTGTCTGTCCCACCATCCCTCCCTCCATCCATCCGTCCATCCCTCCCTCTCTCCCTTCATCCGTCTGTCTCTCCATCCCCTCCTCCCTCTGTCCATCTATCCCTCCCTCTGTCCATCCGTCTGTCCCTCCCTCTGTCTGTCCCACCATCCCTCCCTCTGTCCATCTGTCCATCCCTCCCTCCATCTCTCCATCCCTCCCTCCCTCTGTCCATCTGTCTGTCCCTCCATCCCTCCCTCCATCTCTCCATCCCTCCCTCCCTCTGTCCATCCTTCTGTCACTCCATCCCTCCCTCCGTCCATCTGTCCCTCCCTCTGTCCATCCCTCCATCCCTCCCTCCCTCCCTCTGTCCATCTGTCTGTCCCTCCATCCCTCCCTCCGTCCATCTGTCCCTCCCTCTGTCCATC